CTGAGATCTTTATCTCCTACAGATAAATAACTTATGTATTTCTGGGTCAACACTTTCATTCAGCATTTCACAGTCACTAGTTTAATGACAGACATACCTATCTCTGGTGCATTAGTTCCAGTCCCCTTTCCATGGAGTTCTGCCAATGCAAAACCAGAGAACTGTGAGAAATACCCCCCCTAAGGATCACTGTAAACACCCATTACTTCCACCAAATGATCTCTTTTAACTTAAATAAGAAAGAATAGTTTCAGTAGGTTAAATCAGGTTGTTTGATTTTGGCATTGGTCACTGCAGCATCATTTCGAAGATTAGATATGGGAAATATGAGTGCTGTGATGGTTCTCACTGTGTATCCAAAATACCATGGTAGGACAGTGATCAGTCTTAACGCAAGTTAAAAAAATAGGTCAGAGACAGTGGTATCACTCTGAATCCTGGAATTTGGGTTTATAATTAGTAAAGGTACTGATGGGAGAACTAAAGGAAAAGAAGGTGTTAGACGTTTGCTTCAGGAACAATCCAAGTTTTCTTCAATTTTTGGTGTGTGCTAAGGATGCAAAAGGCTCCCATACAAAGCTCTTCCCCAAGAATCAAGATCGAAGCATATACAATCATATGTATTGTATATGCTCTTCTTCAAGAAAGAAAAAATCCAGCAGTCACCAATACAAAACCCCACTTTACTTGGTTACACTAAACATTTTCTGTTTTATTCTGGAAACAAAATAGGAAAAGGTAAAATAAAACACACAAGGGTAGATAAAAAGATAATTGGCGTATATGACAATATCCTGTCTGACAGAATAAGAAAAACTTCCACCTGAGTCAGTTTGAAACTTTCTCTGTGGTTTCAACAGATACACTTCAAACAAAGTGTTTGCTTGAAATTTCTTGCAGGAAGGAGCTTGGTTTTCAGCATAGATTTGGTTGTTACAGAGATCTCTGCTATTGGTTTAAGAGAAACATGTGAAACAGACCTATAAAGTCTCTTATAGGGGCATTGCTCACTGACTACTGAGGCAGAAATGGGGATGTGGACAGCTTGGTGTGTGGTCATGTACTTCTTTGGAGCAAGTAAGGGATCAGTAGAGCCATGAGACGTGTTCTGATGCTGGGACAGTGTAACTTACTTGTTTTACTGTGATTTCATTCTGCTTTGTCTTATAGGAGCTAAAATCACCCAAACATCAAGTCTTGTGCTGAAAGAAGATGAGAAAGCTACTCTGACATGCAGTCAAAATGATAATCACAATTCTATGTATTGGTATGTGCAGCAGCCAGGGAAGGGGCTGCAACTAGTCTATTATTCCATTGGCGCAAATCAGCAACAAGAGGGTGATATTCACACTGGATACAAAGCTAACCGGTTAAACCTCTCAGACTTCTATTTGGATATTTTATCTGTGAAGATGAACCATTCAGCCGTCTATTTCTGTGCCAGCAGTTTGGACACAACACTTCAAAGTCACTTGCTTTCTTTACATAAACTTCTCTCCTTTCCCACACCTTCCCTTAGAAGCAAGCTGCTCTCGGCACAGGAAAAGGGTATGTAGGCCAATAGGCTATTCGCAAACAAGATGTTGCTGAGGAGCTGGAACAAGAGAGGCAGAATAAGTGTTTGAAGTGCAAGTTAGTTGCTGAACTCCTCTTTCCTGATCAGCCGTTTATTCTCTATCTCATCAGAACAATCAATAGATTGGTACTCAAATGCAGAAGTAAAATAAAGGAAATGGAAACTCCAGTCTACACAGACACAATTTTTTGTCCCCTAAACCATTTTCTTACCTGACACAGAACATTTACTTGAAACATACATATCTCTGCGCCTGACTTTAGAGATAGTGTATGTATGTGCACTCTCATTCCTCTCCGAATATTACCGAGCAGTGAAAGCCACAATGCTTTGAAAGGTTGCCCTATTAATAAGAAAGTTCTAGAATGAAGATTGTCAACAGTAATGAGAAGGGGCCTGAACAAAAGATGATATAAGAATAGAAGCTAAACAGAACCAGTATGCCAAATATTGAATTAAAATGACAAAAGAGCTGCCATTACCATGATCTGCAAGTGCATAGACGGCCCTGAAAAGTTATAAGTGTATGGAGGCTATAAAGAGGAAAGGGAGATAGTACAAAGTAGTATGCAACTTCAAATGAATTCTCACTGAAGAAAAATAACATGTAGATTTCCGTTTATTCAGAAATTGTTCTGACCAGTGTACTTCTGGCTGCATAGTGAAGCACATGCCACTGTGTGTGTCACATCTATCTCTTTATGCATCATACTTATACCTCTCACCGATTAATAAGCAGCGACACAGTCTATGTTAATCTGGTTTATTCCTTCTCTCTGTGGGTGAATTCTGAGGGTTTTTTCCTCCTAGGCAACTTTGTGATGGTCCTTATTCAAAGTCTTGTAGTTGTCTCGGACTTTGAGCTAAGCCTTGACATGAACAGTGCTCCAGAAGACAAAAATGTAGAGGGATGAACAAGCAGGATGTGAATGTAATTTTATTTACTATATAATCTGTCCCTGATTGAATATTTCAGATTTAGCATGAAGAGTCTTGTGTCTTACACAAAAAGACCTACCAGTGTCTTTTCAGCACCACCATTCTCCCAGATAGTGTCACTGATGCAGTGGGGTTAGTCATAGCATGAGTTACTTTTTGGTGTAAGCATTCCATGATGATAATATAACAAATTGTCCTAATGCAAGAAAGCACTAAGCAAAATCCTTGTGGTACGTAAAAGTGGCCTGCATGATTTGGTAATTCTGAAATAAAGAATAATAATGTGTTTCCAGTCAGAGAGTTTTGGAAAGGTTTAAAGAAAGGATATAGAATGGGAATATTCCATAATTAGATACAGCATCCACATTCTGAGATTATTCTTATCTCGGTCTAAATTCTGTCGAATTATATAGTAAATGCTGCAGGGCAAAGGAATATCTTATATTACCACATACGCAGCATAAGCAAATGACTTCAAGGGAAATTTTCAATTTTTCATTATTGAGCAGCATTTCTTCCATTGGGAGAGGAGTTACTGGATTACAGGCACATCCCCTGGGGAAAAGGTGAAAGAACCTTTATCTGAGTCCTTTGAATATCAGGCAGTTGGCTAGAGAGCAGCTTTGCAGGAAAGCGTTTGAACATGAATAAGTAGCAAGCCCTTTCAGCAATGAAGGCTAATTACATTTTTGGTTGCATTAGCAAGAATGTGGTTAGCATGTTGAAGCACTTTTGAGGCTGTATTTGGAATACTACCTCTGTTGTCCATACACACCCCTATCCTGCCCCAGTCCCAGTAAAAGAGAGATATCAACAAATTGTAGAGAATCCAGCAGAGAGTCACTAAGATGATCAGGGGACTGGAGCAGAAACATGAGAAAAGAGACTGAGGGAATTGATTTTGTTCATCTTGGAGAGGAGAAGGCTAATTGCATAACTCCAACTGCCTAAATACAGTTGGAGTCTTAGAGGGGTATAGTGGCAGCCACTCCGAGCTGCAGCAAGATTAACTTTGATTAGATATAACGAAAAAATACTTCCTCTTGAGGGTGCTTCAGCGCTGGAACAGATTTCTCTGACAGCTTGTCAAATCTCTGTCCTTTAAGATACTCAGAAATCATCTCTGTGCTACATGATCTAGCTTTCGAGTTAGCCCTGTTTTGAACAGCAATTTAGAATGAGAGACCTCCAGAAGTCCCCTTCCACCAAAATTTGTCTACAGGTATATGATTTTTATCATCTTGCTTTGCTGTTTTGAGATATGTAGAAAAAGCATGAGGTTTTTTATGATTTGTAAAAGCAGGTCAGCAACTCCCCACAACCTCTAAGTCTTTTGTTTTTTCCGTGTTGCACAACAGAAACAGCAGCTGTGCATGCAAAACCCATCTGCAGACTTCAATAACAAGAAGATTGTGTGATAACATGAGGCAAAAACCTCACCAGCTTTCATAAGACCTGTATGTGACACTATTTCTGTCCAACTCTAATACGGTGAACAGAGAGCTGCACCCTGTGCCTCATCCTGAGAGTCTGAGGCGGTGTTGTGGTAAGAGAGGCTGTTGCGTTATCAAAACGATTTTTTGAGTAAATGTCAAACCGCATCCTGTTTTGCGAAAATTCAACTTCTGTTCCCTTAAAGAGGTATTTTCAAGCACATTTTGGCATGTCATCTTCTCTGATTCTGAGGTACTGTTTTCTGCTGAGGCCTTCAGAGATATTTCCCCTTCTGTTGAAGACCCTGGCTACGATAGACGGAAGATCACTTTAGGGTCTCTGCTCTATGCTTCCTGCTCCTTCTGCCTTGCTATTGCATTCCCAGATATTTTGTTTCCAAAGCTCCACAAGCAATCCTCTATCTTGGCATCCATTATTCCTACCTCTATTTAGGATACATCTATACATAAAAGGTGTGACTCTGTCCTGCATTTGTTCCCAAGTGAACTACCTCTGAATTAACAATTGTTTAACTTGTGCCATAAGGTAGTAGCTTAATGAGATGCAAAGCAGATGAAAGATTTCCAGAAACACTCTCCAGTATTAGCAATCCTTTGGTTTTACAGTTTATGCTGCACAGAAATGGTGCTTACAAACACAGCTTTAAAGAAACACACTCTGGTTCCCCTTCATCCTCACCCACAGATTAGATTCTCTTCTCTTTTTCTGAGTTGCATACTTTTTTCTTTCCTCCTTTGCTTTTCTTAGCCTTTCTTGTTTTTCTTATTTTCTTAGTCTTCATGAATTTTCCGGTTTACTCTTTTCTTTAAAAAGACCATGCATTTTGATAGTACTTCATTCATTCTTTTGTGCAATATCTCCCTGGAGTTCTCTCCCCCTTTTTCTCTAATACCCTCCCCTTCATTCTCACTAGCTTGTTCTCTTGAAAATTATGAGACACACAATATAATTTTAGAGAAGTGGATTGATATAAATATCAATTTTAAGACATCATTTTGTCCAAAGTGGTCTCCTATACAGTTAGAATGAGTCAGGACAAACATGTACAGAATAGAACTCTGTTCCTTTCCTTGGACCTAAGCATCAGCTCCATCACAAACATCCCATACAAAACACTCTTGAAAATAAGCATGATATATACAAACTTCCCAGCTTTAGGACTTCTCTGTCAGTTTTCTGAAAAGTAAGGGTGAAAGCAGTAAATAGAAAAACAACAGAGAAAACAAACATTTTCTTAGAAAACTTTAGTAGACAAGGACTTTTTTTTCTTTTCATTGTGCTGATTAGGAGAACTTGTTCAGTGTACAAGTTACAACTTGTATACCCTTAACTGAAATATCATGTTAACTTGTAATTGTATTAGACTTTTCACATTCACCTCGGTATGATTGATTAGGAATTGGTCTGAAGAATGAGAAGTTGGGGACAACAAATGAAATTAGGTTTGGAGTCTTTCTCATGGGAATACAGAATCAGAGAATCATAGAATAGTTTGAGTTGGAAGGGACCTTTAAAAGTCATCTAGCCCAACCCCCCCTGCAGTAAGCAGGGACATCTTTAGCTAGATCAGGTTGCTCAGAGGCCCATCCAACCTGACCTTGAATGTTTCCAGGGATGGGGCTTCCACCATCTTTCTGGGCAGCCTGTTCCAGTGTTTCACCATCCTCATCATAAAAAATTTCTTCCTTGTATCCAGTCTAAATCTACTATCCTTAGGGTAGCACATGTAAAAGCATTACACCTTGTGCTATCACAACAGGCCCTGCTAAAAAGATTGCCCCCATCTTTCTTATAGGCCCCCTTTAAGTACTGGAAAGCTGCAATAAGGTCTCCCTGAAGGCTTCTCTTCTCCAGGCTGAACAATCCCAACCCTCTCAGCCTTTCCTCATAGGAGAGGTATAGTTCCTTGCATAAGCTCATGGCAACACAGAAAATAATTGAGATCAGAATAAAACAGGGTTAAATGCTAAACAATAATTCCTCTTGCCAAAAGTCTGTTCAACTGTGTCTGAAAATAAAAATGCTTGAATTTTTGAGTTCTGTGTGTGCATTATGTATGAATATTTCCCCTGCTACAGAAACATTCTGTGGTATACCTTCTTTAATTCAGATTATTCACATTTATCTTTTCTTACACCCTCATTGGATGACTTTACAGAATTATCTCCCACATCAGCATTTATAGTTTTTCCTGATTTTCTTTCTCAGACTCATTTCACTATCTCCTTATCCGCTTTATGTCTGAAACATCCAAAGCAGTATCCTGTTGGATATGTTTTCAAAAGGATAATATGGGAGTGGGAGAGTAGATATAGTAGACCTTCTTGTAGCCTCCTTCCTAGAAGTCACTTACTTGACATGGTGCTTTCTTCTAGCAAGAAGAGTGTTTATACACCTGTTGAAATTACTGCTTTTTTCTTATGTTGATACTGTATTAATTTCTCTTCATCCCTCAACCAGACAGAATCTTCCAAGGCCACATGTGGGAGAATATGGTTGGCATGTGGCTTTTCATTAATGACCACAAACCTGCTAATTTCTGTTCAGAGGATGACCTGCTTGAGACTGTCTTGTAACGGTGGAAATATGTATAGAATGGTGATGGGCTAAGCAAAATGTACTTCTACACAGACAATCTGTAATGAAATCTAGACTAGAAATCCTCCCATGTGAAGACAACCAGGAATGCTGCCACGATTTAGTTACAGGGCAAAAAGGTTTTTTTATGTGGGTGACTTCTGGATATCAGGAGGAGACGATTCTCTGTGTTTTGACCACCTGTTCTTGCTGGACGTACTCCTCAGGAGTATGATCTCAGAGCAAGCTTCAGAGTTTACCTGTTCTCGGGGAGTTTTTTGTAAAGGTCTCCCAAAGGAATGCATCACTGTTTTACCAGTGTCCCTGCAATGGCTGAGCTTCAAACAAAACCAGTGCTTCCTTCAGCTCCACCACTAGTGGTTGAGGACCAACTTTTGAAAATGCAAGTCTCTGCTTATACAGACTAAACTTTAGAAAATAGATGGTCTTGTGTGTGTTGAATGTCTCTGATTGCAGAGACATCTGGAAAGATAAAAGTGCTTCTATGCAGAATTGTACTGTGCTATTTGTCTCCTGTGACTCACTACCATTCACCAAGCCAATGTTGTATTTATATCTGATGAGAAACAGGAAGGGGAGGTGGCTGTAACATGCTGAAAACTGGAGAGACACTGACATGAGTATGAGCATGTCATGCAGAAGCTGAATACTAGTAGGAAGTTTAACAGCACAGGTGCACCAACAAGGGAGAGTTGTTGTCATGCGATGATTTAGGGGTGAGGTAGCCATAAGCAGAAAACACGACTCGATGACTTAGTAAAATGTATTTACTAAGTGGGTTGGGTATAGTGAGTAGATAGCAATACCTATTCTAAAATTTCTGGCATGTGCACACACACACTGCACAGTAAACACACCAATCAAACCCTCCAGTGGGGATGTGGCCAGCACCCCGGACTCAGGTGAACAGGACACTTACTTCAACCTAAGTCCAGGCTGATCACCTAGATTTCAATATGGACCTCAGGCTCGGTGTTCTACAGTGTTGGACGGTCATTAATGTGTTTGTCTGAAGGAGCTCTTGTCTCAAATATTTCTCTAACTTAGATAGTTGGCATAAGCCAACATTGGCCTTCCTAGTCATGCCTTACCAGGTTGATGTCTTTGACTTTCTTCATATCTGAAGCCAATTAGCATTTGTTACCTGGGTGACAATCACCTCCTCTCACTGTGTGTAACAAGGATGTAAAGTTTTTAACAGTTTTGACGGATGTAGTCTGGATCTCTCAGGTAGGCCTCCAGTGATCTATGCTTTGTTTCTCAGCACATCTTGGAATCACCTAACGAGTGAGAACAGGAGAGATGTAGTCAAAGTCTCACTCTATCTGAGCGGTACTTTCAGGCAGGTTTCACTCTGTGATAATTTCTGTTAGGGCCTGAATGTGCCTGTAGGTATTAATGCCCCCAAACACACTCATCTGGGATCTCCACCCTCTGCCTATTGGCAGAGGATGTCCATTTAAGCTTAGACCTGGGCCTTCAGTTCTTTCCTGATCTATGTAGTAGGTGTACAGCCCTGTGACTGATCCTGCCTCCTGAATGGGCCTTGTACCTATGTTGTAGGTAGCTTGTCTTCTGGGTGGACACCTCATATCCCCATAGCTTGTCACTAGTCATGTCTTTGGTCCTATGTCTTGGATAGACTGTGAACCATGAGTCCATGTGATAGCATTGTGCCTTTGTGCAAAGAAACCTCATGGTATCTTGGGCTGCACTAGGTGGAGTGTTGCCAGCAGTTCAAGGGAAGTGATCCTCCCCTTCTACTCAGCTCTGGTGGGGCCACACTTGGAGTCCTGTGTTGAGTTCTGAGCTCCGCAGTACAAGAGAGACATGAACACACTGGAGAGAATCCAGCAAAGGGCCACAAAGAAGATTAAGAGACTGGAGTATGTCTCATATGAGGAGAGGCTGTGAGAGCTGGACCTGTTCAGCCTGGAGAGAAGGCTTCCAGGGATTTCATGAATGTGCAAAGTAGTTGGAAGGGAGGATGCAAAGAAGACAGAGCCAGGCTCTTTTCAGTGGTGCTTAGTGAGAGTTCCAGAGGCAAAGGGCACAAACTGAAACACAGAAGGTTCCTTCTGAACACAGGGAAACACTTTTTTACTGTAAGAGCAACTAAGGACTGGAGCAGGTTATCCAGAGAGCTTGTGGAATTTCCATCCAATTAAAAGTTGCCTGGGTCCTGGACAATTGGCTCTGGATGGCCCTGCTTGAGCAGGGTGGGTGGACAAGATGACCCCACAAACCTCGTAAACACTACAAACCTGATAAAACCTGTAAACCACATAAACCCCATAAACTGCACAGTCAATAGTGGGTACTGTCCTTGAAATTAGAGAGGCCCTGCGTCCAGCCAGGTGAAGGATGAGGAAGATCTGGGAGAATGTCCTTCTCAAGCCAAGCCATGAGTGGGTCTTTCTCAATGTAAACTATCAGAGGAGTTGCAGCTGGAATCAGAGGTGAAGGATGATGCCCCTGTGACTGGGAAAAAAATACCTTAAAAAGTCCGATCATCCAATGAGAGATGATGAAGATTTGGACAAGGGTCCTTATCAAGTAAAAACTTCTCAAGAAAAACCTTCTCAAGCAGAACCATCGGAGGGGCAGGAGTTAGAATCAGAGGTAATTGTCAAAATCTTACCTATGAAGGAGTTGCAAAATGTGAGAAAGGACTGTAGCTGACATGAAAGTGAGCCACTTATCACCTGGTTGCTTCGATGTTGTGATAATGGGACTGATACCATAGACTTGAATGCTAGAGAAACCAGGCAGTTGGGATCCCTGGCCAGAGACAGAGGTGTTGACAAGGCACTTGTGGGAAAGAAAACCACTCTCAGCCTCTGGAGGCAGCTCATCAGCTATACAGAGCAGATATCCCTGTAAGGACAAAACTGAATGCTGCCCGAGCAAATGTACCACCATGTAAAAAGGTATTAAGTATCTGAGAGAATTAGCTGTGTGACAGGTGATTTATAGTGACGGACAAGTAATTGTAGATGCTGATGAAACGCTATGCAAGTGACATACGTTGCAGAAGTTTGTGCAGAGTGCACCATTGATATATTCCCCACACATTGTCAACAATGATCTGGGGCAGAGGTGCTGGGACACCAACTGTGAATGAAGTGGCTAACAAAGTACAACAATATGAAGACAGTCTCTCTCATCCCCTACAGGCCTACACCTCAGCTGTGGCTAAGAAAATGGTTAAGGAAGTTGCAAAACTGTATGAGAAACTGTCTAGGAGGGAGATATAGATCCTTTTCTTCGCCTGAATGGATGTGATTAACAAAATAACAGCAATGTCGCCACCAACTAACAAAAAGGAAACACAAGCCTTCTTAGGTGTTGGGGGTTTCTGGAGAATGCATATTCCCAGTTAAAGGCAGATTGTAAGACCTCTCTATGAAGTGACTCGAAAGAAAAAATATTTTAACTGGGGCCCTGAACAACAACAGGCTTTTGAGCAAATCAAACGAGAGGTTGCACATGCAGTATCCCGTAGGCCAGTCCAAATAGGACAGGATATTAAAAACATACTCTGTACTGCATCTGGGGATAAAAGTCCTGTTATCATT